ATAGATTATAAGCGTTATTAAATTAAATGGACGCGACGATAAAACATATGCTGGGAAATTGTGCTTTTTTTATAGCTTTGTTAAGTTCGCCTGTCACTTGGTCTGCCAGTTAAAATATCAACAATAACTTTTTGCAAATCAAGTTTAAGTTGTGCAAGCTTTTGTTCAAGCTTTTGTTCAAATAATTTAATACATTTTTAGACATCCAGTTATACAAATTTTGTTTAATCTCCAGAACTTAAAGTTTTGTTTTTTTTGTTGGTGGTTTACTATCTAGTGTGTTTACTGAAATAGTAGCTAATATGAGGTTAATTTTATGGGCAGAAAGTATGGAGACCTTCCGTTTAGCCACCTCCAATTTTTTTAATCTTTTTGCAGTCAGTATACTTACACATTACTGTCTGCCTTTTTTTCTTCTTGTAAGAAATATTTCCAAAGCATATAATTATAATTATTTTTTCATATTTCATATAAGAAGCCACTAAAGTTTGAAAAAATTAACAGTTCAAATAATCAACAATTTTTATTTAATTAAAACTAATACTATAAAATCCAATTTCAATTATTATAATAAATCAAATTCAATAACTCTAAAAAAAATAAAATTGCAAAAGTTTGGAATTTGTGAAGTTAGAATTTTGATTGCAATTGAATGAAAAAACAAATAATTCAAGAATTTTCAATATATAGATAGTCCAATCAATTGAAGAAATTTTAATTTTAAAATTGTCAATATATTCTGTTCCAGCATGTGTAGACAAAGCTTTGAATGTTATGGAGTGGTCCTTTAAACAAATTTTTTTGTCTTAAGTGTGCTGCAGTGCTATTTGATGGGCAATCTTGATTAAGTTTTGAAGCAGTGAAGAAAATGCTTTTATTTTTTCAAACCAAGGATTGGCTTTAAGTCCAGCCAAGCAGATCGTGTTCAATTGATGGTTGACACAGGAAACTGAGGGATTTTAGGAATAAAATGAGGGGATTCTAGGAATAAAATGAGGGGGGGGTATTGTTTAAAAGTTCCAGGCTGCTTACCAAAAAAAAAAAAAATGTGTCAATTACCTAAATAGCAGACTATATTCCTAAAAAATCGACTATATCTTAAAAATTGCCTTCTTTTGGGTTGTATGAACCCCTCCCCAACACACACCTTTAGAATCGCCTCTTTTAGTCTCCATCAAATGATCACCATTAAAAGTTGCTAATCAATTTTTTTAAATTGAATTTGATAGAATAATTACAAATACAGTATAGACTCTTGATTTTCTATTTAATTATTATAATGAGTACCTTCTATTGAATTGGAAGCCAAGAACTCATTTTTCTCTATAGAAGTTGCTTGTTGAGCTTTCATTTCTTTAGCTTCATAGTCATGGCAAAATAAAGAAAATCAAAATAAAATATCCGATATTAAACTTAAACTTTATTTTTAAATTAGATATAACAATTTTAAAAATATTCTAGTAAAATATGGTCCTGATTTCACACAAAAGCGTAAATGTTTTATTTAAAATGTTCCTTAACTACAGTGTTCTAACTATAGGGCTTATATGCTCTTTTGATAGTGGAGCCATGTAGAAACATAGACTTGGACAATATAGGTTATCAAAATAATCCAGAATCTTGTGTTAATACTAACACACATGTGACATCATTGCTAATGCTAACCTACAAGAATGATTAAGGCAACTAATTTTCCAACTTTGGTATTAAACACTCTTATTTTCTGCGGCAAATTTCATACAACATATAAAAGCTATATACCTTATAAAAGCTTCAGATCACTACTTAAATCACCAAAAAAACTGTATTCCTTTTTTCTACGCAATAAGTGAACATTCAATGTATCAAAGATTAACTTTTTTCATATTATAATTATTTGTTTTTGCTATAAGTTTTACAGTTATGCTAGAACTATTGCTAGAACTTAGATAACTATTGTTTAGAAAATATATTCTTGTAAAAATTTAATACTTACTTATCTTGCATAAATGCGGCAATCCAGGGGTGTGGAGTCGTTAAAAAAAAGTAACGATTCCGACTTCAACTCCAGTTGTTGAAATATTTTGAGTACAACTCCAACTCCAAAGCAAAATTTTTGAAAAATTCTTTGAACTTTTTAAAAAATTTTATGCTATATTATGAAACTAGTGGTATAATAAACCATAAAGTTTTAATTTTATTCTTTTAGTCTATTTGGATATTGTTATTATGGTTCTTAGTCATTAGGACTATCTAGTAGCTTAAACGGTTGAAAAATTCCAGCATTATCATGGTAAAAAATTATCCATCCAAGTTTAAAGATCTAGCTAAAAGGTTTGTTTAGCCACTTTCCGCAAAAACAATTGTTTTACCTACTAGAGCTAGTGGTTTTAAGCAAAGTTTTTAATTTAAACTTTATAAGCAAATGTCAAAAGATTCTAACGACACATCACAATATGGTAGCAATAACCACCGCTATGTATGAAGCTAAAAGGTTAACACAATCTGTGGAGCAGGCATTTAGAATTTTCAAAGCAGACCAGTAACTTTTTTGGTTAACTGTAAAAGTTTTATGGGTTCGCCTAGTGAGATTTAGGAGGACACTCTTATGTCATTTGATAATTGCGTTGATTTTGTTAATTGCGTTGATCTCATAAAAAAGCAACTTATGAATAATTTCATTGAACTCAACTTTGCAAATGATAAAAAAATCACACACAAATTTATTTTACTAACATCTCTTTTGATTATGAGTCTTTTTGAAACTATCTTGTTACTTAACTACATAAAACCATATTTTCTTAAGACATGAACTAATCACTCCAATTTTTAAGAAGTTGATGGAACAAGGAATAATACCAAACATTTGACTTGTAACAATTGTGACTTCATCATAGAAAAGAGATTTTAAAATAAATCCAAATAACTACAGAGAAATTACCCTTACTTCTGTGGTATACAAAATAATAAAAAGTACTTCAAAATAAGGTTCTAAAGGATTTCCTGTCTTACAATTTTATATCAGTATACATGGTATATATAGTATTTATATATACAATTTTTTTTATATAAACAGGTGATATTATTAAAAAACTCTTTGTTGCTAAGATATAGCAGCAACAAAAAATTTAACAAATGAATTAAATTATTTCTGCATAACATGTTAAACTAAGCAACAAATCATAAGAAATAACAAAAAGATTGTTTTAAGATGGCCCATAGTGGAACCAAAGACTATATATGATGCATTGAAAACAAATTGACTAATGTTGGTAAGTGCAGAAATCAGCAACCCCAGATATTTGCGGCAGCTCAGAGGTCTAGTTAGACTTAATGGTCCAACTAGACCTCTATTTATAGAATCTTTTAATTTTTAGTTTTTATAATCTTCATATGCTATTAAAAAACATTAGGAGCTAAAACTTGCTAAAAATGTACACAGAAAACATTAAAGTAAAATGTTTGTTCTGCATGGTTGAATAAAGTCAACCATGCAGAACAAAAGTTTGGACATTGAAAGGATTGTTAACTGGTTCCGATTATGATTTATGAAAATATCAAGAAATCTAACCTAATTCACATGAACTGAATCAAATTTGAATCAGAAATCATCACAGTATGACAATCTGAATTTAAATTGAATGAACTCATCTAAATTGATTAACTTCATCAGAAAGAGTCATCGCATACAATTTGATAATCTAAAGCACAATGCCCAAACACGAATTGCTTACAACAAAATCTTTTTTAACATAGCCTGCTTAATACCTAGTCCTCAATGTGTTAAACTTGTTTAAAGTGTATCAAAATATTTTAAATTTTGTCCAAATTTTACCTTGCTACATTGAAATTTTACCTTGCTACAATGAAATTTTACCTTGCTACAATGAAATTTTACCTTGGTACAATGATTTTTTACCTTGCTACAATGAAATTTTACCTTGCTACAAATTTTATAACTAGTTTATCTTAAAAAAAGGCATATAATGAGTTTTTCAGCTTAAAGATTTTTTTTTTATTTTCTGAACAGATTGCTTGATTTTAATATTTGCATTTTTCGAGTCTACAAAAATTTATTTTATTTTTATCTTTAAAAAATTTATTTTCAGCAAAGTGGTTTTCCAGTTGTTTTTTTATTGTTTTGTTTTTTTTGTTTTGTTTTGTTTTCTTATTGATGTACTTATTTTCTTCTTACTTGCGCTCTATTTGCATCATAAGCTCTTTTTTATCTATTAACTCTTTAAAAAAACTATTTATTATTTTTTATTGTTATTGGGTTGAAAAATGTTTTTATGTTTGAAAAACATGTTTTTAAAAGTATCAGTAAATTTTGGCATGATTTTAACAAACGTAGATTTTATAGCAAGTATTTGACTTAACTCAACTATACTATCAGCTGGAAAGCAGAATTAAAATTGCAGTATTTATTTAAATGTATTTCTTATTTTGCTAAATTTGCTTTTTTTTATAAAAGGTTCTATTTAAATTGGATTCACAACTTCAAAAAGTACTTTTAGAGCAGAAGATCAATATTTCTATTTTGTTCAATGCCAAACTTTAATTGAGTTAAAATCAGTTAAACTTTTGCAACTTTCCATTTCTATCAGTGGCTCAACCATAGTTTAAATAAAATTCCATCAAGTTTTTTATAATGTCATTTTGTGGCAGTTTATGCTTTACTACAATTAGATCAAATCCATAGTTCACAATGGTGTTACCTATGGATTTTTGAAAATGGATTTTTCTTTTAAAAAGTGATTGTTTAAAATGTTCGATTACATATTTGCTTATTATATTTTTATATTTCTTTCATAATCAAAATTGTCTATTTTAATAAATTTAGCTCTTTTCTTATATAATGTACTGTACACATTATTTTTTTGGTAGTTTTATTATATTTTTGTCCTTCTTATCCCCATACTTAGGCTCTATTTGTACCTTGAGTACTTTTCCAACCATTTACTTTTTAAAATAAAATTTTGACTTTTTGAAGTAAAAAATAATTTTACATATATTTTTAGAAGTGATAGTAAACTTCGGTATGATATTATCAGATATAGATTATATAACACAGTACTCGAGTCCATTAAGTGAACCATATGAAGAACTGGAAAAAATCACTAAAACTATGGTATTTATTATAATTTTATTTTATTATTAATTTTATTATTGAACTTGGATTATCTTTTTATAATTGTTTGACTTTATATTAAATATTTTTTAGTTTCAAAACCTTTACAACAAGTTCAATAAAACTGTACAATGTACATTGAATTCCATTAAGTATGTAGAAAAATTTTTTTTTATTTTGACTACATTATTGTTCCCATTTTAAATCTATTAAAAATATTTTTATCAAAATAAAATTATTCTAATAATATAATACTGTTATAATACTTTTATAATATAATTTAAATACAGTAATAAAAATATATGTTTAACATATATTTTTATTACTGTATTAACAATTTACGGAAACAAAAATTTTAAAAAATGCATTTAAAGATAAAAAATATTTAAAATATATCATATTTAAAAAATATATCATATTTAAAAAAAAACTTCATGACATTAGAATTATTGTGATAATTACATGATGGGAAACAGTAACTATCTATTACCTTTATTGCAATATTTAAGCAATTTATTTTCTCACATAATTCCTTTATTGTATCTTTTAATTAGTCTTAAAAAATCTAATATATATTTTTCAATTCTGCTTGATTGCTTGACTGTTTGTTCCCAGTTAACAGCCAGAACGTTGGTTCTAGAAACTTGAAATTTGGCATGGATGATCCCCATGACCCAGGAAATAGGCATAGGCTATGTCAAGTTGACCTCGGAGGTCACTGGAGGCTGCCCAGGGTTGCGGGGGCTTTCAAATGGTTATTTCTGGGTTAGGAGGGCCGGATAGAGTTTCCTTGTAAAGTGCAGAGTTGTTCCTTGCCCCCTGAGGTAAGAGTGCGAATGATCTTGGGTGTGACCTCAGGGGTCGCTGGAGGTCGGAATGGTCTGGGGGAAGTGTTGAGCGTTTCCTATGATGTGATTTTTGTCGGTTTCTGTTGTGTTCCATGGATTGCTGTTGCCTATTTTATCTTTTTCCAGAGTTTTTTGAAATGTTCCACGTTTTTCCTGAGTGGGTCAGAATTTTTCAGAGTGGTCCAGAGTTTTCCGGAATATTCCATAGTGCACAATTGATTTTTGGAGGGTGGGTTTTCTTTGTACACCAGCAACTTTGATTTGTTTTGCCAGTGCCCAGCAACGCGGGCATCTCTGCTAGTGATATATATATATATAATAATAATTAAATTTATATCATTGCAATTTTGTTACAACATGTCGTGATCAGGACATGTTGTAACAACTTTGTATCTATTAATATTACAATGATATATTGTTAGCTTTATATGTAGCTAGCTACAACATAAAAACTAATTTGTAGCCAATCAATGGCTACATATTGCAGTTTTGTAGCTTATGGTATTATTACAATATATTGATAACTACAGATTGTAGGTATGTAGCTAACTAAAACATAAAAAAAATCTGAAGCTAGTCATTGGCTAAATATTCTTACTTTTTAGCTAGCAATGTTGCTATAGCCACAATTGCTATAGTGATTTGTATAAATATCAGTTAGGCATTTAAAAACAATATGTTTATATATACATATTGTGGCTTTGTAATTAACTAAAACATAACTATAGATCTAAAGCTGCTTGAAAATAATAAAGACAAATATATATATATATATATATATATATATATATATATATATATATATATATATATATATATATATATATATATATATATATACATATATATCTTATACTGCTGAGTTAGGTGAGCATGATGATGTCATACTCACCTAATGTCAAATAGCCTGCTGCCGGGGGCTTCAGTACATACATCGACTGACAAATAGCCTGACTCGCCGTGGAGTGCTGCTACATCGACTGAGGGTTTGGTATGGGTCAGCAACATTTTCATTCATTATTCTTCGTTTTCCCTCATCGTTTTCTAAAAATGCTCACTTAATTTAGGCTAGCAAAAAAAGTGAGCGATTGCGCATATAAATATGCTATAGTAGATATATATATGTATATATATAAATATGTATATATTATATATATATATATTACCGCCCCCATAATGTTTGGATTGATATCATATGAAAATAAAAGCGAGATGTGTCTTTTTAACAGTTTATTTCAATAACCACATTATTAAGCTTTAAATTGCTGCAATTAGGAAAAAAATAAAACAGTTTTTGAAAATTACACAAAGTGTACACTTAGTGAAAAAAACGGTTTTGCCCCCATTGTGCGGCAACCGTACCATCACAAATAGTTCCCAAGTGATTTGGCTTGGAGCGCATGGTAAATCTTTTTTTTTTCTAATGTGCTTATAATGATCTTAATCATTTTTTTAGATTGTATCCTGGTTTTTTTCTAATTGTTGTTTAAAATTCAAAAAAATTTTGCATTTTTGTATTTAACATAAGAAAAACTTTTATTTAATGTTAAAAGACACATAAGTGTTGCTTAAAATCTACTTTTGTTTTCTTTGTTTGCTTAGCTGCATTTTTCTTTTGTTTTGATTTTTTTAAATAATGAGCAAGTTTTTTATTTAAACTTTTAAAAAGTGATTAAAAGAAAATTAATATTAATGTATTTTGCAAAATTCTGCATTAAACATTTTAGTTTCATCCCATTATTTTATAAAACTAATTGTCATTTCTTTCAAAATAGTGTTGAATATTGTCTCAAAATATTGTGTAAGTTATAATAGAAAGTGTTTTTTTTTAAACATCTTCGCTTCCAACAGGGCTGCAAGCAACCACTAATTAGTGTTGGAAGTTACTGGAAGAGAAAAGATGAAGATTGTAGAGCAAGATAACAATTGACAGACGACTTAAAAGATTGCAAATTATATGAATTAGGAAAGCAAAATAAAGGAAGCGAATTTCAAAGAACTGATGTTCGAGGAAAAAAACTAGATGAGTAAAAGTTTTTGGAGCACTTAGGAACAGTAACAGAAAAAGGATGAGACTTAATTGAATGACGAGTAACTCGAGAATGAATTTTAGTAGATGGCACAAGAGATGCTAGCTCTTTAGAGCAGTGCCCATTATAGTATTTGTAGAAAATAGAAAGAGAAGCAACATTACGACGATGTGACAGAGGTTGAAGGTTGGCTGCAAGAGCAGGTCCAACTATATTTACAATACGTTTTTGCACCTTGTCTAAAAGAGAAAGGGCATCATTAGAAGATCTGCCCCAGATATGGCAACAGTATTCCATACAAGGCCGGATTTGAGATTTATAGAGATAGAGAATAGAATCCAGAGTAAGAAAGTGTCAAGCTTGATAAAGAGAAGCAACTTTAGCAGATGCTAATTTTGCAACGGATTTGATATATGGTTTCCAAGAAAGATCAGAAGTAAGAGTTAATCCTAGAAGATGAAGGGTAGGAGACTCATCGAGTACATTACCGTTCATAAATAAAGGAAGGTCTAAATTATTGCGATTGGCTGAAAAAAATTGAGTTTTATCTGAATTAAAGTTCACCAGCCACTGTGAGCCCCATGCTGTAGCAGAAGTGAGATTCTTTTCAAGCTCAGATACCCCCTGCAAGCAATCAGAAGGAGTTGGCTTCTTATCATGACAAGAATAAATGGTAGTATCATCAGCAAACAATGCCACCTTAGATGTGAGAATATCTGGAAGATCGTTAATGCAAATTAAAAAGAGTATAGGGCCAAGGATTGAACCTTGAGGAACCCCTGAGGTTACAGAATAAGACGAAGATTGCTGTCCATCTTAGGCAGATGCCTTTAAGATGTTGATTGATGAGGGTTGATTTAAACATGGACACTTGTTACATATAATTTTTACAATAAATTTTTGTATGATTAAGAAGAGATAGCTAACGAGCTGAATAAATATTTTGTTTCTGTTGGACCAAATTTATCCCAAAAAATTCCTCAAGCAATTAATCCAATAAGTAATCTATTTATCCCTAATACATCGCAATTTAATTTTGAACTAACTTTTGAAGAGTTTGAATGCGCTTTTAAAATGCTAAAACCCAACAAATCAGCAGGTGCGAATGATATCAATGTAAATATTGTTATTAAATCATATGAAATCATTAAAGATGTACTTTTTAAGATTTTTTCTTGTTCTATTAGGCAAGGAATTTTTCCTAACCAACTAAAAATAGCAATGGTGATTCCGATATTTAAGGGAGGTGATTTAACTAATGTTAGCAACTATCGTCCCATTTCTATTCTATCTGCATTTTCAAAAGTCTTGGAGATAATTTTATACAACAGAATTTATAATCATTTATCTGTAAACAATTTAATATATAGTAATCAATATGGATTCAAAAAAAATAACTTGACAGAACACGCAGTTCTCCAGTTTACAAGAAGTATTACTAACTCTTTTGAAAACTTCCAATATACAGTTAGGGTTTTTATTGACTTAGCAAAAGCTTTCAATACAATAGACCACAATATTCTTTTAAATAAACTAAAGATTTACGGTATAAACGGAAGTGTTTTAAATTGGTTAAAAAGCTATTTAAATAATTGAAAGCAATTTGTATACGTTGATGTAGTTTCACCAGTAAACTTGCTTGATATAACCTGTGGAGTTCCTCAGGGATCAATATTAGGGCCTCTTCTTTTTCTTATTTACATCAACAATCTCCATAAAGCCTCAAATTTAATGACGATTATGTTTGCAGATGACACAAACTTATTTTTATCTCATAATGATATTACATTGTTATTTCAGAATATCAATAATGAACTAGTAAGAGTTTCTGATTGGTTTAAGACAAATAAACTGTCTCTTAATATTGATAAAACGAAATGGATTTTTTTCCATTCAAATCACAAAAAAAATCTTATACCAAATGAAATGCCACTGCTTTTTATTGATAATATACTTCTAAAAAAAGTAACAGTTACAAATTTTCTTGGTATTTATATTGATGAAAATTTGTCATGGAAAAGTCACATAAAAAATTTGAGTAGTAAAATATCAAAAAGCATAGGAATTTTGTACAAAGCAAGGTGTTTTTTAAATAAACATACATTACTTAAACTATATTATT